GAGGGGGGAGATAGCGGGCAACGAAGGGGGTGGGCGGGTACTTATTGTACTTACCTCCAACTCCCATGACAATCGGGCCAGCGTAAGACAGATTGTTGAGGTGGAATCCACGAGCGTCGTGTTTGACCCAGACATTGCTAGCGCTCGAGTTCCCTCGGGTTTCGTTCCCTGCGCTTTGTTGATCCGCGTAGTAGCCTGGAACAGTCCACCACACTCTTGTTTATTCCAAACCTTATTTCCCGGACTCAGTCTAAAGCCCTGATTTCACAGACTCAGATTGCAGGACTTCTGACAATTGTCAGAAGAGGACGCATTCGAGATCGGCAGAAGAACAGAGAAAAACAGGAAAAGGGAAGAGAAAAAGGATGAAGGAGAGGAGACTTAAAAAGGAGAAGAAGATGAGGAGGAATTTACAAGAGAGGAGATAAACAAGGAGAAGAGGGACAGGAAAAATTTCCTACTCTGCGTTTTTGTCTTCCTGTAACCCCTCATCTTCTTCTCCTTCTGCAGTTAGTTCTTCCTATTTCTCTTCATCTTCCTCTATTTCTTTTTTCTCCTTCTCAGTGGCACGTAACGGAGTTTCGCTGCAAACAATTTCGTCACCCCCACCCCCATTAGTAAATTACCAAACGACACCATCCCCCCTTCCCTCATGCACTGTTCGCTCTCTTTCTGTCCGGCTTCTGGGGGTCCCACAGAATCTCAAGGGAGACCCATGAACAGAAAAAACAAGGGAAAAGAAGAACATTTTTTATATCACCGAAGCAAAGGACTTGGGTTCTTCAGAAAAGAATAAGTTCAAAACGGTAAAAAAAAGAAAAAAAATCAGGGGGAACTTTATGAATCAAATTAAAGAAAGTCTCTACGGCCGAGGGCCCTTTCAAGCGCTTTGCCCCTCTTGTATCCATTTTTTTGTCCTGACATGATACTTAAAGTAATTTACCGCATTTGATTTATCAAATTGATACGAGATACTCGAAGTCAATTATGTGTTCTATGCGTTTGTATTTCTTAGTGTCCTGGGGACAAACACTTGAATTCCTCATCTACTGAAAACTATCGACCCGCGGAAGCAACGAACAACTTACAAAAAAATTTAAAAAAATTCATGCTAGAAGAAACTATGTAAAAATACATTAAATTGAAAGGAACCACGAGCATAGGGTTTGCGTGACGCATAGTATCTTTTGATCTTATTAATTTTCGCATTGTTACTTCTTTTTAGTATGATTACGTCTATTTAATCGACGCATTATTCCTCATTTTGCCGTCTTTTTTCCTAATCGCTGAGGAAATCTACTTAAAACGGAACCGAGGGGTGGAATCGAGAAAAAAGTAAAATTACAATAAGTTGAATGCAACAGGGAGTCTTGCCGTGATTTATGCTCCATGGGAAGTTTTCAAACAAACGAGTTTAAAGTGTCTGCCGTAAAGAAATGCAGTTTTGTCCTTAAAACTCACCCGGCGCTGCATTTCTAAATGAGTTCCCACAGCTGTCGGAATCTATAAAACTCGAGTTTAAAAGCGCAACTCCAATTCAACTGGACACGAAAATCTCGTCAGTGAAACTTTTTTATCCACCACAGAGTCATAAAACGCAAATTTTCCTCAAACTTCATGCTTATTACTCTTCCCGTCCCTTTATTTTTCTCATTTGTTTATTAATTTATCTTTTTTTTTGTTGCCGGCTACAATTACGCAACAACAATTTCTTTCACAACTTACAATATTTCAGGATGAGAAGCTTGCAGAAATGATCCCGCTGAGATTTTGCAAGATCTTCACCGTCAAATTAAATAAACAGAGGGCAGAGTAATAAATGAAATTCAAAGGTTAAGTTCCTTATTTAACGATAATTTTTTTGGTGCTTAAATGCTAAACTTCTCAAGAAATAACTGTTTATTGAAATTGTTCTTACGAGGTGAAAGAAGTTGCGCATTCCCACTCAAAGTATGAAATTGGTCCATCTTTCGCCAAAATGTAAACTTTCGAAGAGGATACCTGCTTCATCTACGACATCCTGCGTGGATGCAAAAATGAACGGAAAGTCTTCGGAAAGTGACGATACCTTAGACTTGGAACAGTTAACCCCGAAATATATGAATTTTTTGATCCCAGATCCACCCTCCCTCTCCACACAAGGCCCCTTTGGGGAAACAGAAAAGGGAAATTGAGAACTTGTGTAAGCGTAGAGGCTGCAGCAAACATTAAAGGAGAGCAACGTTGCAATAAATTTAAATTTAAACCATCAATGTCTTTCTCAGAAAATTGACAATGTCGCAATGAAAATGAATGATAGTTTACCTCAGAGGTACAACGGACCACGCTTGAATTCAGTCGGGGTGTAAAGGGAAAGGAGCAAAGCGCACAGAGTTAGTGTTGCATGCATCAAAACGAATATCATTAGAACGCCTGGATGCAATTATTCGAGCTCTATGGATTTCTGTGTTGCATACGCACGGAAGTGAAGGCGTTTTGACTCTCGAGGCACGCACCGCTTAATTCTGGCAGCATTGCAAGCCCCTTCTTACAAAATGTAATCTAATCAGTCACTTGGTCGATCAGGTTTAACGTGTAACTATATGACTATTCAAACGATAAGTTCGATGGTTAAGTAAAATCAATTAGCTCGACTCTAAATCTAACTGTGCCCTACTTCAAATAACTCCGGTTCAGAGGCAAAATTTTCCGGATTTAGGGGCCACATGGATCCAGTCACTGAGCCCGGAACATGGATAGTAGTCCTGCACTGAGAAAAAACTATGGCTTATAAACCTATTAGAGGTAAATATGGAACACCACTAATAGTAGTACCTCTACATATAATAATAGCACATATACCTTAGTTATGGTCTCTGTACCTTAATTAGGTACAGAGACCTTAGTATGGTTCACAGACCGAGAATCATTAGTTTATTTACGACTATTATAGGTGTTCCATATTTACCACTAATAGGTTTATAAACCATAGCTTTTTCTCAGTGTGTGCTATGCATTGGATCATACTCAATCCCTTTACATACGCTAGCTGGTATTTTTGTCGCCAAAACAGTTCAACTTTAATGCACGAAAAGTATCAGTTTCTACGGGAAAGTATAATTCACTTAAAAAACGTTGTACTCAAGAGGTTTTGTATTGGTTCTCTGGGTGGTGTAAGAAAGTGATCTGGGGTCAACACACTATTCTCGCTTAATGATTATCGATGAATCACGTGATTAGTATTTATTTTGATCTGATAGTGACTAAATAATGACTGGTTGAGCAGCTTACGAAGAGTTTTTCAACCCAAGTCGCAATATTGGGATAGTATTGATGGTAAATAAGTTAAAATAAATTGAAAATTGCGGGGTCAAAGTGTGCAGCAAGTTTATGAACGCGAAGTCTTCACATTTGAAAAAATAATGAAATATATCTTTCATGGCGATTTTTTCCCTCCAAGACGAGCAAGCAGCCAAGTGGGAACGTTCGATGTCAAAATAGCAAAGTAGAACTTTGTCATGCCGGCTGCTTGATCGAACAATATACGCAAGCCGTCTCTAACTTATGTCACCCCCCCCCCCCCCNCGACACCCCGAAACATCGCGCCCTAGTTCTGGTCCGCATTTGAATTTCATGAGCAACGACACTGAATGATTCCCATATGCATTCCGTCTCGACTTTGCTATGGTAAACATTAACCTCATTTTTCCTCGGCAGAATCCCCTGTGTGAAGTTGATGATTATTTTAATCATTGTAACTACTTTGCTCTTTCAGTCCCTTTTAATGCAAAGTATCAGGTATGAGGAAGATCTGTGAATGTAAGTAATGAATGATTCGAGCATAGGCACAGCTAATATTAAATATTTATCAATATAAATATAATAATTTGTCATTCCCTCTCGGCTCCTAGTATAAGAGTAATTTGGAGTATACATCACAGCAAAAGTTTGCATTCATGTACCTGACGCATTACAAAATAACATGGTAGTTTCAGGAAATGCACTGAAATTAGAAGATTATCAAAATATACAAACGTCAAACCCTGATCTCAAGTCTGTAAAATGGACGCATCTCTGCCAAACGGAATTATAGACGAGTGGGAAAGATGGGGTGTACTCATAAGTAACAATGTAAAAAGGGGCTTGGTTCCCTTTGGAGAAGTGTGAAACCAGGATTATCTGTCAAATGGAACTATGTGCATACTGAATGCGGCACTGATGAGCCATGGGCATGTGAAAAGAGCGTTGTGGACAGGGCTCATGAGTTAATGATTCATCCGGCGACCTCGACTAACGAGCACACCCTTTCTTTCCCACCTGTCTCTGGTTCCGTTTGGCAGGAGTACGTCCAAATTTAGTCAACAGTGATGTGTACAGGTCACCATTTTCATTCTTCGTAAAATTTTTGTCCCACAAGTCCGGCAAAAACACTTTTAGGGATTCTTTTCGGTCGAGCCTGGGTCCAGTATAATCACATTTTATTCCTCACCTATCGTTGCCATGCTGCCACCAATGAGCATCAGCAGTAGACCAACAGACAATGCCTTACATGCGTTCCAGAAGCATTTCGTCGACACTTTGCCGGACACGTTCCATTGCGCGGGAGTGGTGCATCTCCCTCCATGTTCCGATGCATTTCGCCAACTGTTGGTCAGCAGTGCACCCGGCTGCATAATTCACCTGAAATCAAATCGGATCATGTACAAAACTGTCCACGATAATAAAAATAAGTACTAAGAGGTTTTTACTGGAGGAGGACCTCTAAAATACGATTTTGATTCGGAGCGCTTCAATTTTCCGATTATACCTTACCTTACGGTTTTGACTCGCAATTATCTCCGCTACTTAGTCGAAACTCTATTCAAATCAAATCGCCTGAATACAAATTTAATTTCACAGATTCTGAAGCATAACTTGACATTGCTTTAGAACGCCTTCATTTTCATGTGATACTCTAAGAATTAAAACGTAGTTAATTTGGTTGTCCAGCCACCTCGAACTCAACTGAGAGTCCCAAAAAGGAGAATTCATTCTACATTCCAGACCCTGTTTCAGCTGAGAGCTAACTCCATGTACGGAATAATTTCTGAAGCTTTAAAGAGTGTTTGCTCCCATTTGCTTGCAGAAATTGACTCGTTTCGACGAGACCATAATATTTCCTAATTAAGAAAAAGCAGTAGAACGCGAGAGAAAAAATAATGAAAGCGATTAAATTATTTTTTGTGCAATACTTTTAAATTTGAACAAAAGTTGTACGGGACACAGATGAAAGTAGAGCCTTTTATAATCGAGATTTTACATGCAGATGCTTGCTTCAAGGTTTGTCAACGGAAACGGCAACATTTTAGAGGCAGAATGGAGTGTTAATCGACCCGTCATTCAGATTAAAATTAGAAGATTGAACAGCTCCGTCAATCAATCAAATTGACAAGTGGAATGAGGATAAGCACAGGAATTTTGAATTTGTCGACAATATTTGATGTTGCTCACGAACAAAACTATTTTTTTTTTGAAAATTTATTTTGGCCTTAATTCGGATTTTTTTTTTATTATTTTTTATAAAACTTTAGACTTTCACTTTTGCTCTTTCAAGTCACTCTGCAAAGTCAGTATGGTGACAACTATGTCAAATAGATTAGCTGTTATCAGGTCAAAGCATTCGTTACTTTCCAAATAATATGTATACCCTGGTTACCCTGGTGCCCGAAAAGAATACATAGTTGAGGCGGCAACATTGAACGAAAAGTAGAACAGGAGAGAGGGGAAAGGAAAGTAATGTGGGTAAGTTGTAGAAACAATTGATCGTAGAAAGCGGATTCCAGCGCTAAAGTTTCAGACTATTTTGAAAATTTGTTTTGGAGGATGCTCAGTGAGCAGCATCCAGGACCAACATAAGCAAAGCGGAGTTGGCGATCGGCCAAATAAGTTTATTGCATTCACGTTCTTTCCAGGCCTGTACGTTCCGGTGAAATCTTTGACCTTTTTAAACCCTTCTCTAAGCCCTCAGAAAAAGACTCCGGGATGCCTCACCTTCTAGACCTTCTGCGCATCTTTGTCGAGAGAGTCGAGAGGCTGAAAACGTCACGAATACTTAGCTGGACTCAGCGGAAAGTTTCACCTGACAGCCTCATTAATGACCCTCCTTTCAGGCAAGACAAATGGGCGACTAGACAAGGTCTGAATTAGAAGCAAACGTCACATGTTTCCACTTCCAAATCTTACGTGGAAAATATTTCGCACAATGTCAAGTTCGGAAACTAACTCATGAACAAGATATTAACAAGTATTTTAACACAGATCAAATGAGGGGCTTGGAAGATAAGGCGCATATGCGCATAAGTGCAGTTTTTATTATTTCGAAAAAAACGACTTTGAAGTTCTGGATTTTACTCGGACTTATATAGTATTCCAAATACCTTCAAAATTTACCTACAAGTGTTGGCCTCACACCTTCAAGAACACCCTCTGAAATTTTCAGCTCAGTTGAGCTAAATGGACTTAAAGTGACGGTAGGTCGCACTTATCCCGCGAAAAATGCACTTATCCCATTCGTTGTTTTTTCCGCGTCAAATGACTTTCCAAAATCGCTCGGTAATCTGATAGACCTCGCCTTCAATTTCAACCATCAAAGAACACGCACAACTCAATTTTGATCAAAGACATGCTTCTGTGCACACGATTTTATTTTTTTTTTCATCCTTCCTTTTTCAACACGAAAAAACACGAAATGGGCCTTTCCTCATTGTTTTTATCTAATGTACTTTTAGTGAGGTCTAGCTGTTTTCTTGTATCTCACCTGTTGAACTACAAGCACAACAAGCCATGGTAGGCAGCTGAGGTGGCAGGGCTCTAATCTCTAGTCTCGAATTTTTTAAACTGCACTAATGCGCCTTCTCCTCCAAGCCACTCAAATGGTAGTCAGATAATGCAAATTACGTCATTTGTATTTCTTACAATGTAATCAATGTGAATTGTAAACATCTATATCTTGTTTTGGCGTTGATTTCAAGACTTCCCTTTGTGTGATTCATTTTTTTGAGCTCTAATGAGCACCAGTACAAGACTGAAGAGAGGCTGGGGGAGTGTTCAGCTCAGACAGCTTGTGTTGGAATACCTATATTAAGTTGAGGTCACGCCAAGGGATCTATAACGTTTTGGGTTCTTTTAGACCTCATCAGTAGACCAAACTCGTCAATGAGCCCAACTTAGCATCCCACGAAATCCAAGACGGCATCGAAATGTCGTCCTGAAATATGACGTGAGGCATGTCACAAAAGTGTGATCCTTGCGCCATTTACCGTCGCTGCTGAACAACTCTCATAACAAAATGAAGAAGACCCGGCAAAAATGATTTACATGCCGGCATTAAATTTCCGAACTCTTTTAAAAAAATCTTGACGATTTGTCACTAAATGATCTGAAAAGTAGAATGTCATGATCAGTGTTACTTTAGGAGATGAGCTCGATTCTATGTGAACTTCCCTCAAAGGAGAAATCACCAAAGCACTTCAAATTGGAATGAATCTTACACGAAGGATGAAAGGGTAGGCAGAAGCACTGTGACAGCTGAACGCACTCACGCTTGCAAGCTTGTAAAAGTCTGCAATCACTGTTACATAAGATCCAGTGAATTCTGATGTTAATATGGCAGCAGTGTGACAGGTCATTACAATGGTCCAGGGATCAATGGCGGTTGCCGAGAAGTCAAGCACATGTGAGGGCCTCTTCATGAGAAACGGCACAAAGTATCAACCATAAAAGCCGAGCATATGCTCTCAGTGGCGTGTCGTGCTGTGCGATGAATCGATTGATTTGCCGCTTAGACATATGGAAAATAGTCGATTATCAGGGTGTACATTGATAATCGATTCTTTAACATAGTCTCAAACGGGATAACATCAATAGTCGGTGATTCGCGCCTCACCACTGGTGTTTGCAAGGCTCTGCTCATAAAGTAACCGGTTCTCAAACCCCAGCCATGTGAAACAAGCGTTTTTATTTCGAATGAAGCAACTCAAAACTCAAAAGACTACGAGATTGGAGAGTTGAGTTTCCGGCTTGAGTCTAAAAAGGGCTTTTTGAGAATGACAATTTTTTGTCGCTCACCGCGGTATCTTAAGGGAACAGATACGCTCAAAGATATTAAAGTTTCCAAGACCAACTTAAGACTCTTACTACCAGAGCGATTCACAGTACTGCAGGCAAACTTAAATGAGCTTTATTTTTCAGACACTGCTAGAGCGTTTCTGCAATGTGTTCCAGATTTGAACCGCACTGTAGAAGGGGAAGCTGTAAGAGCTTGAAAAAAAAGTGTGGGGAGCTCAACCCACCCAAATCCTCCTCATTTCCGTCCATCTCATGAGCAAAATTACTTGGTGTGGAGGGCATACTATGCCGTCGGAACTTCAGACTTGTGCATTCGGAATGGAGACAAAGAAACTTTAAAGGCTCTTTTCAAAGGTTTAATGAACGTTTTAGTGGTTTAAAGAATGTATTTTTACTTAGAACAGCGATTCGTACAATTATGCAGCAGTTAAATGGCCCCCAGGTTTCTACTCATTTCAATTACTTTTAATTAATTGTTAAAAAAACCAACAAATTCGTTGTTTCGGTAAGTCAAACCATGCCGTCAACGAAGAGCCATATCCACAGGAACAGGGAGATCGAACAAATTTAACTGGCTTTAGATTCGATGGGGTTTTGGGTAGTTTTCAAGGGCCCTCATCACCGCCAAACTCTTAATAATTAGACGTTTTTATGCTAAAAGGAACTATGTTGCGCGTATACCCTATGCACCCAGTTCCTTTTAGCAAAAATACGTCCAATAGCTCATTGCGTCCAGTAAGTGTACGTTCTACATCCCTGTGGCAGTTGGGCGTCTTAGCAGAGCGTCCTAGTGCGCTGTGAAAGCGACTAAAAATAATTTATACATTCTCGTTCTACACTATTACACAGGTGAACTTGAAATGTAGATTTGCTTGGTTTTCTCAACATTATCTAATTCGTCACTCAAAATTTGGCACGACTCGATTTACGTAATACTTTGTGACATGACCAAGGATATTTGTAAGTCTTGCGCTACTCCCTTATCGTGTCATCCATGAAATCCTCGGTTAATTCCGGCGCCACGAAGGTAAATGAGTTGCCTGCAACAATCATCGGTGTTCCGAAACGTGAGCTTTGAAAAAAAAAAAAAGGATACGCTGGTTAAGTGCCAAGATTTCCGCCAAACGCTCGCCAACTTCCCAGCACTTAAGATTTAAGCGGGTTAAGCATGTCTCCTTTAGCGCCAAAGCTTTCAAAACGAGAGGCATTCGGCTGATTCACAAGTGCACTTTTTGCTTGCTAATCAGACTCATGAGAGATATTTCCGAATCAAACACGATTTCAAAAATATTTAAAAAGCAATTTCATTTTGAAAAGACGATACTGTCAACGGGGAACCTAAATTTCTGGGAGAATATTTAGCACGATGGCAATTTTTGTTTCGATAGATAAATAAATGTAACATTAGAGTTTTTAAGAAGAAATATCTCTACTATAGCACCTAAAAATATTTAATGTCTGCGGTTTACTTCATTTTGTTTCTACGGCTGAAATTCAAGAATCCGCCAGAAAATGCCACCTGGTACCAAGTTTCATAAACATCGATCGAACAGGAGCCGAGATAGCATTTCAGA